AGAGAAGAGAAGAGAAGAGAAGAGAAGGGAAGAGAAGAGAAGAGAAGAGAGAAATACAAGCTAAAAACAATAATCACGAGCGAATAGATTACACCGAGCTTTAACGCAAGCACCAAGCCACGCCCAAGTTCACCCTATCAGCTGTGATAAATGGACTGTACATTGRATCTTTTAATAGGACTTTATTGCGCGTCTCAAGTCTACAAGACCATTAATACAAACCCTAAGTGGAGTTTTAATTACAGGGCATTTAAAGTCTAAAGGCTGGACTCACGAAAATAGAGCAATATTGAACCTTTATCTTAAGGACAAAAAATTTCCAAACTACGCCAGAAATTCATTAGCTATAATTCGTAAAAAAAAAATCTAGATCGTATTAAAGATTCAATGTAGCTATCGATAGATGTCACTAGCTCATTAAAGAACATTCGATAGAGAAAGATCGGAGTTGATCTTCATGGTTTCTTGTTAAAACTAAAGTAATTGGATTACGAGGTGTTAGAGAACAGCCAATCGCGTCGTATGCTAAGATAAAGCCAAGACTATGTTTGGTATTTCATGCCCAGTGTCAGATGGCTAGATGCTTAGTCATTACCTCCAGCCAATAGAAATACATGATAGTCCAAAAAAGGCGGGATGATCGATCTGCTTTTACTAATACGTATTTTCTGATTAATTATGGTTTTTACTCTCTCGTGCTCGTTAGTCACAGCTTATTACGATGGCACGGAATTACATTAAAAAATTCAACAACAAAACTTATAGTATGTACCATGAACTACTCGTTTTGCCACTAAATAACTACATTACGAGAAACCGTGAACTAAATATGTTTTACAGTAGGATGAAAAGTCATATTGAATCGTTCTTGCTATTGTGTGAAAAAGAAAGAATATTTCAATTCCAAAATATTTTTAAAAAATCATATCGAATTTCGCTGATACTTTACTGAAATTTCATTCAATTTTGGCGGGAAAACATACGCGTCCGTGCCCCTAACCTTACGCATGCGCAAACGTTCTACCGCGGTGTATTGTGCAATTTGATATCATTTTATTAATATCTGTTGAATAATTATCAATCTCGTACAACAGAGATTTTGTCTTACTGCGCATGCTCGATACTTCTAAGAGCATGCGCAGCAAGAAATGAAGGCTATGGGTACGGCATTGATAATTATTTCTTATGTTTTCTAAACTTTAAATATTCCTGGTTTCAAATAAGAAAGAATATTTGTGCATTCCGAGGTTGAGGAAAAAGCTGGGTCCAGTTTGCATTGCAGCTAGTGCATTGTGGGACTGTTTGAGGGGACGTATTTCCAAGATGGCGTACATTTCGTCCCTAAAACAGTCCCACATTGCCAACTCGACCCAGTGGTTTCCACAGCGCCTCATATGCTGGGGCGTAGGGAAACCTCAATTATAGGGAGGATTACCATTTTCCCGCCAAATCCACAGGAATCCCGCATGAATTAATTAAATTTTGGTGCCGAAAGCAATTTTTTTCCCCTACGCTAGTGCTTATATGTGCATGCTCTTAAGTCAGCCTTCATATGAATAGCGCAGCGGAATGATTCTAAAAATAGCTTAAAGATTCGGAAAAACATTGCATTCTGTTTATTATACGAACCGATCTTATAATTTTACTTAAAGTTACAATAATAACCCATGTAAACTAAGATCAACTGCGATCGGCTGTGAAAATTATCTTGTAAGTTTGTCCGAATTTCGCCTTTGTCTTCGTTTGTATGACGTCACGGTTGCGCTGCGCTATTACGACTTGCTAGAAGTGGGCTCCTTTGAATTATTGTTCACTATTCACCTAACTACTTACCAGTCTCTGTCGATCTGTCTGCACTATTCTGTCTGTCACTTCATCTGACAATTTCAACCCTGTTCATTAAAGAGCAATACTATAATTAACCTAAAAACACTTCAATAAGATGAAAATTAATCTGTCTCTTCTCAGAGTTTACTTTATTATCCCGGCTTATTAAGCATTGAGGAAAGCGGATTTAACCTAGACTTCAGAACAAGGATTTTTTTAAAAGACGAGTGGATAGATTGAATCAGAGGGTGTTAAGGGATTTTTAAAAATCATATGAAACTGCAGATCACGTTTTTGAGTTGAATTTCCACATGTCCTTGAATTTGGGATTTCTTTCTAATTTTATATGATGTACGGAAGCAGAAACCGTGCCACGTCTTAATGTTGTGGGGTTTTTTTCATGCAACACCTGGCAATATATTATTGCTTGGGTCCCGGAAACACGAAAAGCCACTTTCCGAGCTCTCATCTTCGCGAGCCAAGCCAAAGAAAATTCAACATTATCGCTATTACGGAGCCTAATTAATTACTCCCTCCCCCCCTTCCCCGAGAGAAACATTGAAAAGTAAATATTTCTTAACAGGGGGAGGGGCAGGAATGAAGCTCAACACACCCAACGGGTAATCCACAACAGGCAGAACGAAGCCTGGGAGTGGATGAACAAACAATGAATGGTGAGATAAAACAAAGAACGCAGCTCACATGTAGGACAATACACATTGTTCACCATAATCCATGCTTTCTTTGTTTTTGTTATTTTATCCAATCCCAAGCTTCGTTCTACCAGTGGACACCGACCCCACCCAACAAGAGTTGGTAGACCAATAATTGGTGTGTTTAGTAAATATAGCTTTCAAATGATTGATGGCAATTGGATGATTAACTCGAACACTGTGTACTGCATAAGAAAGTATACTTAACTACAGGATATTTATCGTTACAGCTTTCAAGGAACATTGTTTTTATGAAATATGATTGGGAATAGCTTGTTTGTCGATGGGTGTCTGATTGAGGACTTTGAACAAGAGTAATTTATTAGTTCTTATTTCTTAGTAAACGCACTTTGAATTAGATGGATTATTTATTGGTTTACTAGTTGCCGAGGAAGCCTTTGAGGAAGGTGTAAACATGATTTATCACTTCTTCTTGGTGGGCTGTACTTGACTAGAAGCTTAAAGAATGTCAAACTCTGTTAAGAAAACCATGGAACTTTAAGGTTTAGGTACGTTTGACATGGAGAATGATGGCAAAGAGAGTAAGGTTGACAAACGAGGTTACGGTAGAAAAGGGAATGATGGAAGGAAAGAGATGTTTATTGTGAACATATATTTACAAGTTTACATCATAAGGTACTGAAAGTCACGCTTAAAACTAAAAAGAAAAACAAAACAAATAGAGATTACAAATGTGAAGCAATTAAGTGTGCAGTGATGATTGCTAGTAAAGTAGTTTTAATTTTTCGAGTCGAGGAAAATAAAATAAAAGAAAGAAACCCTGGTGATTATTTTTACAAAATTAAGAACATACGACAGTTATTTCCTGTTGCTAGGTGTCAAGCGTTGTTTGGTAGCAACAACAGGTGGCTCTAATCACTCAAGACACAATTCAATACCACCTCCTAATAACCACATTCAAAAGTCCGTCAAAAATACTCGTCACTTCAAAACTGGCAAGCAAAAACAAAACCTTGGCACAAAGCACAAGAACTCTTCAACCTGTTATAGCTGTTCTGCATTCCTGATAAACTCGAAAAAGGGCTGTGACGAATTAATTATTTACACTGCGTAATAATTAAAGCTGTCAAAGCTGTTCTTCTATAACAGTTGTTTACAAACACTTTAAATATTGATTAGCCAAAAAAAAAAAAAATGACGGACCAGTTTTTATTTCAGGATGGATTTAATTTTTTTTTTCTAAAAAAATCTACAGTTTTGCCATTGATCGCTAATGCAGAAATTACAGGTTTGACTAAAGTTAATCAACACTTATATGCTAAAAAAAATACAATAGCGTTTAGTTGTTTTCTCAGTGTTTAGAGATGCTTTATCATTTTACCATAAAAACGAACGAACAACAATGTAAAAAACGTTCAGCCTAATAATTCAGATTCAAAATAGCCCACTCTCGCCAGCACTGAAATATTGTTTGCATTTTCATGACAATGACCCAAATTTTCAAGTTTCTTATTAAAGCAGGCATAATTTATGAACACTGTAGTACTAACGAGTCGAATAATCCTCTCATTAACCAAGTCATTGTGTTTTTTTTAGATCAACTTTTCTTAATAATTGGTGATTTTCTTAGCCTTCGATGCAGGAAAGTTTTGAAATAATCAACAATTTTCTCAGTGCTTCTTAGTTTTTCTATATATTTTTCTTTTTGCTTTAGTTGACAAAAAAAGAAAGGTGGTTCTGTGGTCGATGATGAGTAGCGTTTCATAACCACGATGTGCGAATCCCTAAGGAGTGAGAGTTTATTGTTTACGTCCCACCTGTAGCTAAACTATCTGATCCATCTTAAAAGCCATTGGAGTTTCTCAAGTTGCTTCAGTCATGGTGGCGCTAGTCACGGCGTGAAGGATCAAATTCGTGGAACCAGACACAACGGCTATTTTAGAGTTTTATTCATTTTAAATACTCTTAAATAAAAATATATTCTAAAACATTAAGAGGAGATTGTTTTCAATAATGAGCAACAATGGCAAAAAGCGCCAAAATCTAGACTTTCGTATGAGTTTTGATCCCAATTTTCGTTTTTGATTAACGCTCAAAACCATTTTTAAACAGTTAGAAACTGATGTACTATGATAAAATGCCTGTTTGAAGCGGTATTGTCAATTGTACGAAGATGTTTTGTTGCATTTGTGTTAGAATGTTGCTTTGTCAGGCCTTTTTTATAGAAAATATATGGGAAATAAGCAAATGAAGGCCTAAACCTCATTTTCGAATAAAATGTTTGCTTTGGGTGAACGCTTTGATTCCACTTTCATCAGTCATCTCCACTTCCAAACAAGTTAAACTTTCTGAATAACRAGATTTTAGCCTTGTACAACAGCCTTTCTTCAAGAAAATAGTTTTTGGCGCTCACCGCTTGAATACGAAATGTATTCTCGCTTAATATTGAAAAAATGTCTTGACATTCTAGCATTCATGAATGCATTAAATAGAGCATTCTCATTGAACAAGAGCCTTGGGGGATCAACGAATTTTATAGCAACGCAAAAACRCGGTTGTGGGCTTCCTGTGTTTTCCAAAGGATGCCCAATAAACGAAACGCGTTTTATCATTAGAAGCCAATATTCATCTTGCTAGTACCTCTGCCCCCCTCCCACCAAAAGAAAAAAGAAAAAGAAAGGAAGAAATAGCAAGATGAAAGAAAAGGATAAGACAGGGAAAGGGAAAGTAAGGAAAGGTAGAAAAAAGAAGAAAGGAAGAGTGAAAGAAGTGAAGGCAGGAACGAAAGAACAAATGAAGGAACAAAAAAAGAAATGAAGAAACGAAGGAAGAAATGAATGAATATTTTGAGAATACAGCAGTATCTTTTATTAATCTATTTATCAACAGAGTTACCAGGAGATCAGTGGTTAGATGGTGTCTGTTCTGAACACAATCTCTCAATTACTCTAATCAATCTATTAGTAAGGTTTATATGCATCTGTTAGTCTCTACGGCAAAATGTCTACACAGCTACAATCTAAAAACCCAAGATAAACATTACGAAGTAAAGAAACCCTGGTGGTGACCACCATTAGTTCCTACGCTTCATACTAACCACCTCTCATGTTTGTAAATAGCATAAACAGTATTCTGAAATTAATTCGCAACTTAATGTAAAGCACCTTTGATTATATCCATATAGAGAGGTTACTACATAAACCATTATGCAATATCAAACTTAAGTACAAATATCAAATAGTAGTATAGTACCTATGTTGTAAAGATAAAGTACTACATCATAAAGTTTGAATTAACTTTGATATAAGATGCTCTAAAATCTAAGGGATCTTTGATAAAAGTGTATGCACTGGACAAAACCAAAACCCACCCTGAATGAAAACTCCCATCTGGGCACTTGTACCTACGTAACTATGCAACTTGGGATTTCAAGATTTGTGTTGTGGGTGGCAATCAATATTTTGGGAGCCCTTGCCAACACAGTGAAGTGAGTTCTGGGACACATTTTGATCCCAAGCATTGTGTTGTGGGTGCCAATAAATATTTAGGAATCCCTTGTCAACACAAGTGAAGTGAGTTCTGGGACACATTTGGGTCCCAAGCATTGTGTTGTGGGTGCCAATCAATATTTAGGAAGCCCTTGTCAAACAAGTGAAATCCTAGGATGGATTAAAATTGTGAAAATGATCTATATGTAATAGCTACCTTATTCTAAAGCATATACTTCACCTTTGCCTGTTCTACACGATATTTCGCTGTCTACTCTGCCAGCTGATTATCCACTTCGATATCCATGTAGAAAACCTAGAAATCATGTAAAAAAGACAAAATGTTATTAACATCAACAGACCTTAATTTTTAGGATGCAATGCATTCCCATTTCAGAGCAAGTATCATTCTCTTGAGAATGAGATTAATTCTTCATTTGAGTCGTATTTATATTTGTGTCTTCTCATGCAAACTGTTAAACAAACAAAAAATAATGCTCTAGAGAATGGCTTGTGATCTTAAATAGGGTAACAATGGATTACCATGTAGTTTTACTAAAGTTACTTTCAATCTCCAATCAATGTCCAAGGCAGTTTATTTTATGTATATTAATCATAAGTGTATGGCTAGCAATGAGAAAATTTCTCAAGGTTGCGTGGGCATCCAACTTGATGGGCCACAAAACTGAAAAACGCAAATTCAGTAAAATTGAGTAGCCAGTTCTATATTTAAAGAGGAAAATAATCAATTTTATGAATTCTTGTAGAAAACCCTCTTAGAAATATATGATAGTTTTCATTATAAAGCTCCTGTTCTATTATCATGGCCCCTCAAGTTTCTTAAATTTGGATGCAAATGCAACTTTGAGAAAACGGTCTATTGATCAAGTCCTCATTTTTCAAATACCATAATCACCATGTCACTTGTAGTGGTATGAGTGGTGCATGGAAAATCTAATCATTGGACTTGCAAATTCATCAGTTGAACCACAGATTACGTAGAATAAGCTGTGCACATGACCTATCACATGATAGGCCTCACAGGGGTGGGGTTGGTAACTACTCTAGGGAATTGACATCCTGGACTGTTAAAAAAAGGATTTAAAAGTGGAATTTCCACATAGTAACTCTTCTTCTGCTGAATCCCAATTGGGGGGGNGGGGAGGAGGGATAAGATGTGATTCTCTTTCCACAATAACTACATGTAGCTGAAGCAAAGGCTCTTCACACAGAATATATCCCAGCAGAGTATATAACACACAGGTGCACTCTTTATGCAGGTGAAATCTAAGTAGCATCTGAAGCAGTACCTTGTTAGAGTGGAAACCAACCAATGATTTTGTTAGAAGGCAGATTCATCTCACCTACGGAAAGAAGGAAGGACTACTTATTTTATTATGTGTTAAGCCTGTCTATTGAAAAAATGTCAAACAAAGAATCTTATTCTCAAGAGAATGACACGTGGTCTGAACTATTGAGAAACATTATACAAAGCTAAAAGGGTCTATTTTAAGCTGACAATTTCTTTTTCTGCCAATAGAATACATATTTTGATCACAGGGTTTGTCTAGACTGGATACTTGGTCAATACCCTCTGTGGATTGTCCTCAGATCAAGCCATAATCACCATTATTTGTCTGAGTGGTGCATGGTTCAGATTCATCATTGGATTGACAGAAGAGCCAAGCATCCTTGCCAGTTTACATAGGAGGAGGAAGGGGAATCCTGTTTGACATTCTTTGGGAAACTAAACAAGATTTCATTTCCTGTGACAGGGAACACAGAGAGAGTTATTAAGTATCAACTAACAAAAAACCATTAAAAGTCATTGTTGATTTGAGATTTTTTGCCCACAGGCTGGTGCTGCACAATAGGACTCAGGGTCCCCTTCAAGGAACATTGCACCAATTTCCAACCCCATAAAATCCCCATCCCACAATCAACTCTTTAAAAAATCATTATTAGTAAAGGCCAGACACCGAGGGTGGTCACTGCCAGGGTTTTTTTACGTCCTCAGTGGTTCTTTTATGTCCCTCCGTTGCAGGGTGAGGTAGAGTGGAGCGATGGGACTGCCATTTTACGTGGTCATCCCAGCACACATTGGACTCAAACTATATCATAAATTACACCTTTTGTCAAGGATCATGGAGTACCCTAAAAAGGGAGGGGCTGAGATTGGAAAATATATAAGGGATTAATATGCAAAAAGGAAAAAGTGGGGAGGGGGGCTGAAGCCCATCTATTCCTTCAACCTTTTGATACCAGTTCTTAAGCTGACCTATCACCCCTGAAGATTGCAGTTTTTAACATCCCAAGACTCTGCCTACCCCTAGGATAGTTACAACAGACATACCTATTAATCATTATGAAGATGAAGAAAGAAAGTATCCCAGTTTCTCTAAGGTTTTTGAGCCTTGCAAAGGCGTTCCATCTCCTTCAGTTCTGCCTTTGAATCATTCAAAAGAAAAAACGAATTCATCAGTTATAATTCAGTAAAAACACCGTGTAAGCACGGAATTATCAACCCTGGTGCCATCAGTAAAAAATTAGAGTGTAAAGTTTTAATTTTCATGAAGATTCAATGAAACTTTTTTCATCATTTGGCACCATTCAAGTCAACTTTTTATAGATCAACTTTGTCTTACCAAAAATGCAAGAGTTTGGGAACTCTTGAATAGAAAGTTGCTCATAATTTACTTATCATACGTTAAGGCTTCAAACTGATGTAATTTTGTGGTGATCGTTGCTAAAAAGAACAAGATATGACTGTAAAACGCACCTCTACATTTTCAAACCACCATCTTGGAACCTTGCACGTGGAAGAAGAACGCTTCCCAGACACCGCAATGACTTATGGGATAGAGTATGAAACAGGAAGCCCAATGCAATTGTTGCCACAAAACTTGATATTTGAGCCCGAAAAAACAAGTTGTGGAAATACTTACACATACATTAATAAAATATAATCATTTCAACCAATGTTAGTGATTTTGGGTCATAATATGATTTTTGGACGCGGACGAGAAGTCGAAACGTTTATGCGTGGCCTGCGTGCGTTATCCGTGCGATTTTTGCGTGATTTACTGCATGTGAGGTCAGTTAGCAAGCAACATACCCAAAATAGCTTACAAGTCCGTGAGGAAAAAGATAAATGAAAACCAAATTTTGACTATTATTTCCGACAGAATCTAAAATCAACATTGCGTAAACGTGTCTTACAACACGGTGATGAAGTGTGGATTACATTATGCGATCATGCGGCCTGTATTTCACAATTTGTAATCTTTGCCAAGATATATCTTTAGACAATGCTGGATACAATGTATCGCATGTGAAATCTAATGCTAGAGGTGGGCATGAGGTCAAGCCGGCGGAGATCTTGTACTAGTATACCCCATCCCTCAGTTTTTCGAATCAGAACTAATAATAATTCGTAATGGGAGATCCCGAATTATTCAAATGGGAATTACGGATTTTCTTATCATGTGATGGGATAATGAATGAAATTTGACGCACTGGTACCGGGATTTTGGCAAGTGAAAATGGGATATTGCTTAACCCCCTCCCCCTCAGTATTCAACCGGAAATACGACGCCATGCCATAGGCCAGGTTACCCGCAATAGACGCCATCTTTGTTGTTGTGGTTAGCTGTGCTCATGATTTCGTCCACGACCCATCGTCATAAAAAAGGAAAAAATGACTCAAAAACCTCACTGAGGAACACTTAAAGACCTTAGAATTGAACTCGAGTCATTCATTTAACTATGGACAYATCGGTAACGTCGATCACGACCGAGGAACGTAAGTTATCAAACTTTGAATTTTGTCTGTCACGACCAAAAAAATGCTGACGCTTTGCCAATGGAAAATTTTGAACGCTAGATTTTAAGATAGTTTTCAATTTATTTGACGTTTTTTGTATTAAGAAATCTTCAGCTCAAGTTTAGCATCTATTTAATTTTATAAGATCAAAAAAACGTGGCAAAATACTGTGGAAATTATTAAAGTTTGTTACTATATGACAGATCTACAGTACGTTAGGAAATGCTAAATTTTTTTACAGATCTATTGATCTTAAGAAAGCCAATACGAAAAATGAAGAAGCAAAAAAGAAAAGAAGGGAAAACTATTTTTTGTTTCAGCAGCTGATCAGCAGAAGAAGTGCAGTGATTGTCACAAATCATTTAAAAGCTGCCAGTGTAAGGTGAGATTCCATCACACGTCTAAGATCTGTCCAATGAGAGGATTGAAAATATCGACAAACTGCTGGTGTAACATGGACCACAAAGGGGGTGCCTAGCAGGGGGTGTCGGCATTATGTTTCAGCCATTGACATTTCTTAAATCACTCCTTACATTTTGAGGCACAATAATAAGTCAGGAATTTTAACTGAATTTGAATTTTGCATTAAATGGAATCAATTATTTGCAATCACTAACATTTCAAGAGAAGAATCAAACCTCACAGTAAACCTGGAATTCATGAATCTTGGTCTACCTTTTGCTTTTTTCATGTATCACACTTTTTTAGCGTCACGCATAACCCCTGTGCCATACTGGACTAGGGGATATTTCCTCCCACTTTTTGGACATCACTTTCAATGATGTGTTATTTATTCTTTTTTCATTTAGGCTTGTTCAAAATGTGGATCATTATTCAATAAATACTGGGGTACAAATCTTGCTAAAGGAAGGTAAGAAACTATTGCAGAGCTTAATAAAATGGACAATGGACAATGATATGCCAATGCTAAATTAGATCAGCCAAGAGGATGTTTCAGGGTTGATTTGTGAGTTAGCCATGCCCTGACTTAGATCAGCCCAGAGGTTGTTGTAGGGTTTTATCTGTGAGGTAGCCATGCCCTGACTTAGATCAGCCAAGAGTTTGTGTAAATGGTTTGATAATTAAGTTCATCCATTGTTTCCATGTCAACAGGTCACATTGCAGAGTATGTTTTGCAGCTGTTTGTCTGACATGTCATGTTGTACTTAACAACACATTTAAGGTTAGTTTTTTGTGTCCTTTTGTGTCCCAGTATATTTACAATTTATAAAATTCTTATTTGGTGTAGAATTTTGATCAGTTTGTAAGAAATAAAATAAAATAGATAAAAATGAATGACACATTGAATTTTTTTTACAGATCTGTACAAGATGTCATATCCGACAAAAAGAGGAAGAGCTAAGCACACAAAAAGCTTTGTCTGCAATTGACAAGGCAAAGAGTGGGCGGAGTGACTCAGGGACGTCTCAGTTGTCGTCTGATTATGTCTTCATCAATGTTGCTGCTGCAGGAAGCATGACGAGTGACCAGAAGAAGGAAGCTTTATTTGAGGCCTCTAAAAAGGGTAATCCTATGTCAGATATAACATCATAAACATACCTCTTTGGCCTTTTCTGGGACTGTGAACATAGTGCATTGTGGTCTAGCTTGGGTACAAATATCTTTTGTTCATCATGCCTTATATGGTTTTGTTTATACCCAACCTTGACCACAATGCATCACAATTATTGAACTCGGAAAAAGTCTACATAAAAAAGTGCATAATTTGTGTAATGATCATGCAGTGCATTGGAATATTCTAGTTGCTAATATTGGTTCTCAGTTGCTCAGGGTTAGCATCAATTTCGTGTAAAAAATTCATGTCTGTGGAATTTCATAGTATTTGTGTTGTTGAAGTCGTGCATTCTTTACTTTAATGATAGCATTTGTGAATATTCTGATGTTGAAATGAAGTTAACCCTGAGTAAATGAATGTATAGTCAAGGAACACAGTGGTATTCAAAAGATTTGAAAATGGTCTATTTAAATTCAGAGATGGAAGTTCTATATCCTAACCAGAATTTTGATGTTGTGTTACTGAGCCCAAATAAATGTTCAAAATCTCATTTATGGACCTTAATCACATGGCGGCCACATTTATTCTCATGAGAATCAAAACACTTGTTAAATATCTGCATAAATTTATTTTCAAGCACTTGAATGAGGAGCTAAGCGTGGTGAAATCTATTATTCAAACCAAACTGGCTGCCACACCAAAAAGCCCATTTACACTATCTTGTCTATACATTTTGGAAGGGCTCCCTGGAATTGCGGTCATGACACCCCCTTTTCATGACACCCCCATCCATGACGTCCCAGTGTATACCATGACGCCCCTAGTCTGCAGTCTGATAAATGTTACTTGTCCTCTTTCCTACAGGAGACCATTATGCTCTGGTAACACTACTCAATGCTAATGCAGATGTCAATGCTAAAGGTAAAGTCTATCATTCAATAAGTGGTTCCAGAAAATACCCAATTCTCCCCCTCACAGTTCCCTGTGCCATCTTAAAAGGTAGCCGTGCCTTTGCATCGAAGCGAGACGAATAATTGTCCAAGGTGTTAAAAAAGGTCTCTATCATTGCAAGCTCACTGTCCATCTCGCTTCGATGCAAAGGCACGGCTACCTTTTAAGATGGCACAGGGAACTGTGAAGAGTATTAGAGGCTTTGCACCATCATGTGATGGCAGCCATGACAAGAGGCAGGAACTGAATTGTTTCTGGTCTAATCTGATTTACATGAGAAAGAATTCTGTTTCTAGGGGTGAAAGTCTCTATTGTTGTGCCTCCTGTCATGGCTGCCATCATGTGATTGTTCAAAGCCTTGATATTCCAGGAAAACCAGAAAATTCTCAGAGGTGTATTGATATCTCCATCCCTGTATTCTATATCAGTTTATACTGTATTCTAATTTCAATTCAGATATTTTTGTTCTACATGTACAAACCTTTTTGAAAAATTTGTAATTCCAGAAATTATCCATACCCTCCCCCCAGAGGAATTTGGAATTTTTGAGGGGTGGAGTCAGAGAAAAAACAAAATTACAGGGTTTGTATGGAAGAAAATTAGAATTTCCTATGGGTAGGAGGGTGGGTCTTTAAAAAAAATTCCTCAATATGTGGTAAGGATAATTTCTGGAATTATTACACAATGTGTAGATTTCAATTTCAGCTGAGGCCATACTATACATTACTGTATAATCTTTTTATTTGGCTTTGCTTTCAATGGCCACTGTGTCATCATCAAAGGCTAAATTCAAATTCATTGCTACTGAAGGCCATCTTTATTCTAACTTCTCTAACCTTTTTTGTACTTATCAGATGCCAGCAGGAATACTCCATTGTTTTATGCTGCCGAAGGAGGATTTCTTCCGTGTGTGGCTCTTCTCATGGTAAGAACAAAACAAAAATGTGATACCTTAGGCCTAGGGCAAACGTCGAACTTTCCATGCACTGAACTCATTAAAAACAATGGATATCAGGTGATAATGAGGCGGCATTCTTCGATGTAATTAAGTTCGGTGCATGGAAAGTTCGACGTTTGCCCTAGGCCTTACTTGTCCATAAGCTCGTTAATAGTTAATAATATATCATTTATAATCCCATAGGAAAGAGGTGCAAATATTACCTTGGTCAATGATGTAAGTAAAGTCTACTCTGTATGTATCATGGACATCGGTGCATTATTTTTAACAGGGGGCTACAATTCAGGTTATATATAAGTGATATAAAAAGTGCAAGGAGATGGTCAAGCTTAGTGTAGAAAAGGTGGGGGCTATAGTATGATAACATCCATGGATTCTGTTTAAAAGTGGTAAAGGAATAACCCATTCTTAATGCTGTGTTGCAGGCTTGTTGGACACCATTACATGCTGTTGCTTGGTACTGTATTATGACCATTATGTAGTTCAATTATCAGGGTCTTGAATGGGAGTCCCAATTGCATTAATTTTTATAAATTTTGAAGAAATAGCATGTTAGTAAATCTATTTCCCATCTCAGTCAACTAAATCCCATTCCTAAAGTGTAAAATTCCATTTTTACATCAACAAATGTTAAACATTTGAATAAACCCTATTGAGATTACTTTTGTGGCGTAAGGGTTGGTATGTGTACCCAAGTTAATTTTGCAGGTATTTTTTATGTTTCCAGGAAGGGTTCAACAGATGACCATGTGGAGTGTGCCGAGTTACTCATTCAGGTATAAGACATTCAATTCATACAGGTTTAMGTCTCACCTTTATTTTGGGGAATGAATGATGATAATATTCCTAGGCTTGTGTCCTACACACATTATTATAAGACATTTGTTGCACTGCTACAGCTAATTATGCTGAAGATAATGATAATGGGAATATTGTAAAATTTAATGATAGTAAAGACAAAAGTGGCGATGGTGGTAATAACAGACAGTAATGATGATGGTGATGGTGGCGACGATGATGATGATGATGGTGTTGATGAGGGTGATGATGACGATAATGATTATAATGATGATAAATAATTCTGCTGCAACTAATGTTGATTGTGGTAGTAAAAATAGACGGTATTGATGATGATGATGATGATGATGTTATATGGTCAATGATGACATGGTGATGAGCTTCATTTTTCTCTTTCAAGATGGGTGCAGACGTTTTCGCTCTAACCAGTACATCAGAAACAGCAGCTGATCTAGCTGAACGATGTGGAGGCAAACTAGAGCTGGTGCAATTACTGAGGGCTGCAGAAGGTGAGATAGATCTTTCCCCTCTGCCTCTTTCCTTATTTCCATAATTTAGGATAACTTTATTGTTTTTCCTTTTACTATAGTTGATGTTGCTGTCAAGAAATTACAGAAAAGATTGCGAAATGTGTCGTGTAAGTTATGAAAAATACAAGTCAGTGGTGTAAATACTGTTGCTTGCTGTATGCTTTTTACTGTAAATAAAACATAATTCATCTTTTTATTATTATTTTGTCCTGTCTGAGGGCAGCACTTAACCCTTTCACTACTAGAGACTAGAAGGGTAAGACACATGCTCTTCCTGGAACATAAACTGGGTGTTTTTATTTCTCAATATCAAAATGAAAAACATATGCTTAGTAGATATTGTGTGCATTGACACCACACAGCACCCATGTAAAAAAAAATTTTTAATTTTTTTGTTCCAAAAAGAAAACAAGTATAACATAAATAAATATAGTATTAGTAAACATTGGTATTGTAAAAATAAGTGTTATTTAGTGTTTGATCTATAACAGAGTTTTCATTTCTTCATTAGCTAAAGATGTTTTGATAAAGTTGTACATAGAGGCTCTTATTCGTCATATTACTAAGGACTTGGATCAAAGTTGGTTAGAGGAAGGTAAGGAAAATAGACAACAAGAAAAAATGAGAAGCAGCAAAAACTAGTAAAATGAGAAAGCTGTCATTTCTGTTGTTGCTTCATCCATCCATTTATTCATCCATCCATTTTATCCATTCATCCATTCATCCATCCCGACCTCCTGACCTCCCTCTAACCATTCTCCCATTCTTCTATACTTTTCAAGACAACATAAGCCAGTCCTCAAGCTCCAATTCAAGTCCAATACTTCTGCGAGCTTGTAACAAGATAGAAGAAAACAACCGAGGAAAACTAACCCCAGAAAAATTGTTGAAAAACAGTTGTAAAACAGCCTCTCTTGATAGGGTAAGAAGCTTGATTTACTGCACTAAGGAAACTCTTCATTGCACTGCATGCAGGAATCAAGGGTGACATATATAGTGGTAGTGCAATCACCTCTCATCTCTGGGGTCTAGGATTTTATTCCTGGCCTTAAGTTCGTTCTTGGACTTGGTTCAATTTCTGGACTTGGCATAACATGTCATCAGAGTTTGTTGGGTCTCTCCCTGGGGGGGGTACTCCACCAGGATTTGGGTAGGGGTGTTCCGTTGGGATTCTGAAAGGGGTACCCTGTTTATGACAAAAAGACTCAAATTTGTAGACCCTGTTCATGACAAAAGATATGATTAATATTGTACTGAGTTCCTGTTTCAATTACCATGTCAGCTTGTGTATCGTTTTTTGACGACCATAATATCTAGTTTCAGTCAATATGAAAGTAGAAACCCTGAATATGACAGAAAACACGGGAAAAACTTGGAACTTGAGTGAAATCGCATACCCTGTTTATGACAAGAAGCTCGAAAAACCATACCCTGTTCAGTGGATCATCCTCGTATAGTCCATATATGGGAGTATCCCCAGGGGGTCTCTCCCTTGATTTGAGGGTTTTTCTCTGGTTGTCCTCTCTCTGCAAAACCTATCATACTAAATTTCAATTCCTCTTTCCTTTCATTCTAGAGAAGTAATGTAGGCAAAGAGCTGAAGTTCGACAACAAAGGTACATTCTACAAATCATACTAGTGTCCGAGACTTAAAATACTTACACAAACGTTGTCTGATTGAATCATTTATCATTTCAGCCTCGACACTCAGTCGTGCATTTGGTAGTTCCCAAAACCTAACAAACATTCCTCAAGCTGATGTTGAGCCAATTATACGGACCGATTACACAACTTTCCCGCCATCTAATACTGCTTCACTAGAGGTAAATATTTTGACTTGTATGATGAAACTTTTGTCTTGTGGGGGTAAGGGAGGGGATTGCTTTCCTACCCTCCCTCCCCCCACTAAGGATGTTTTAGCTCTTGGGTCAGCGTATCTAGTATTTTTTTATAATTGCGATTGTATTTTTTCAAGGAAAAACTTCGTCAAAGTCAATCAGAGACTGAAGATGCAGAGAAAAGGTGTAAGAGATTGATGCAAGCCATGGCTGTGGCAGCAGAGGTGAGTTGGGAAGAAAATAAAGTGGTCATTGGGTCTGCGATGATGGTGTTGATGATGATGATGTTGATCATATAATGCTCATGTGATGGTGGTGATGATGGTGATGATGGTGATGGTGATGACGGTGGTGATGGTGTTGAAGATGATGATGGTGGTGATGGTGTTGATGATGATGGTGATGATGATGGTGATGGTGATCATGTTGATCATAATAGTGGTGTTGGTAATGATGATGGCAATGTAGATGATATGAAATGATGATGTGGATCATAATAGTGGTGTTGCCAGTGATGCTTCTGCTGCTCATGATGATGCTAAGGATGAGACTGATGGTGAAGATGATTGTCACTGGTGATGTTAATGTTTATGAAGATGATGACAATGATGCTCATAATAATAGCAATGGTTGTGTTGATGATCATCATGATGATGATTCTATAATTTTTGTTCCAGGATCATGAAAAGGAGGTTTCTCAACTAAAACAAGAGATGGAGCAACTCAAAGAAAAAAATGAAATCACCCTTAAAAGGGCAAGTGTCAAAAAAATTCATTCCTTCCACACAATCATTCTTCCAATCAGTTCTTCTTTACCATAATTACGTAAAAAAACTTGCACTTTGTTGTCCTAATTTCTATTTCACATGTTTCTTTCTCAGGTTGAGGCGACATACGTAAATAAAATTTCCATGATTCGACAAGAAGCCGAGACGTCAGTACATGAGGTAGCTTTTTAAAATCTTTTGTTGCTCTCTTTTGGACATGTTGTAAAGCAAGTTTATTGATGTGTTAGTTTGCTGTTGCCAGGCTAATGAACAAGTGAAACAGGTGATGAAGGACCGTGGTGACTTGCTGCACTTACAGGATACTTTCCGTCTCACGTGGGTCCCTGATGAGGTGAGACATCAGTAATAATATTATCATCATCAACAACACCATCAACACTATCATCATCATCATGTACCATCACCATCAACACCATCATCAACACTCATCATCATCATCAACACTATCATCACCATCATTCACCATCATCATCATGCACTGTCATCATCAACACCATCATGCACAATTATCAACACTATCATCATCATGTACCATCATCATCATAATCAACACTATCATCATCACTATCATCATCATCAACACTATCTTCATCATCAACACTCATTATCATGCACCATCAATATCAACACCATCATAATCATCATCAACACAATCATCACATCATTCACCATCATCAACACTAGCTATCATCATCACCATCATCACCAACACTATCATGCACCATCACCATCATCATTGGCATCTATCCTAATTACTGCCCTTATCCTTTTCAGTTGGTAGCACAGTGTTCCAGTCCAAAATGCCGAGCTCCATTCTCCCAGGTTAGCCATGATTAATCTTTAGAGAAATGCTCACCCCAGTTTCATTTTCAATTACCTTATAAGTAACAATTTAAATTCTCATGCTTAAATTTCTTCACAAGACAAGAAGACGACACCATTGTCGCTGCTGTGGTCGAGTGTTTTGCAAAGTGTGCACAGATCAATCTTGCAAGTAAGTCTTCATAAACAAACATGACTCTTTACGAGTGCGATTTGTCTAATGCGATTCTTTGAATTACTTATGTTTACTCAGATTTATGATACTGTGAATGAGAAGTAAGTTGTAGAAGAAATTGTGGGCTTTTCTTATTTCAACAAGTTTTGGTTAGAGGCATGGTATTCAGTACCAAATGTTAACAAAAACTTGCATCGTAAGACAAGTGTGGGTAGTTGCATGGTGCAGGTCCTCTTGTAACTAGTCTACCTTAATTAAACTCTCATATTATTATATTCATATTTATCACCAACATCAAGTCAAAATGAAGGGTTTTTTATGGTCGCTATGTTGTATGTGGTTCTCCTTTCTCCCTCCCCACCCCACCCCTCTCATTTCCATTTCTTCCCCATTCTCTCTCAGTCACCCACAGGCTAGTGTGGCCTTGGCCTTCCTTTTCTACAGGAAGCACATGCTTGATGTGTACCTGTTGACAAGATATTCTTTTTATTATTTCCTTTCAGGCTAACAGCATTTGGCTACCATCAGCCAGTACGGGTGTGTAACCCATGCTATGCACTGGTGGAGGACATGTTCCTTAATGAGCAAGAAAAAACATGATACTCTGACGGCCTAGAGAATTAGAAAATTTAAATCATTCACTCTAAGCACTTATGGTAGCAGTGCATCCAGGGGTTGCTTGGATGTTTGTGACACCCTTTGCATTGGCAGTTTATTGGTTGGGAGGGAGGGATGATTTGAAGCTACAGTGTAGAGGGGAGTGCCCCTATCATGAAAGATCTCTGGACACACCTCTGTACCACTGTTGCAGTGTTCACCCATCGAGGTCAGCAGTGCAGCTAATGCTTTGCAATTACCCTCCAAGGTTGATATCCCCCACACTCTGTCCAATGCTTTCGTCTTGCTCAAATAATCATTCTCAACTTTCGTAGCATTTTACATAAAATTTTACAAAAAAATACTTAGCAAAGATTTTTCAAAAAGCTTGCGTATGGCTACTGCTTACTCCACCCCTTCCCCCAGGAATAAAATGTACTTTACAGGGGGAAGGGATAAGTAGTTAGTTTATAGACACATCAAAGATTATTAATTGATAAAAAATTGAAATGATTTGATTATTAAAGTTTATTATTATTATTATTAAAAATGTTATTCTTTCGCAAGAATGGCTGTTATCATTTCATGCTATGTGCTGGGAAGTAAAAGCTTCCAGTTGTCGTTCAATATTATTGCTTGGTTTCACTCAACATCATTTCTTTTCATCAGCTGAATGATGCAAGTTTTCAATAGAATTCTTTCTGGTTGACAGCACATGGTGGTCAGTGTTTGACCATCATTTGGAGCAGATAATGAGATTCAAAGACTTTTATCAGCTGATT